TAGGTATTGTATGTACTACCTCTATCTTTAAATCTAACAGAATGTTTGTACTGTAACGCTGCAACTATGGATGTACTGTTCCTAAATAAATTATTATTATTATTATTATTATTATTATTATTATTATTATTATTATTATTATTATTATTATTATTATTATCATTATTATTATTATATATTTTATTATATTAGAATTAGTTTTATAATAGCAAGATATTATACCAGTAGTTATTAAGTAAATAAACACTGGGGAACATGAAATATATGAGAAGTATGAGAAGGTGGCTGGTGGGAGCATTTACTATCACCAAATACCCCACTGCACAAATGATGTTAGGTATGAAGGGAAAAAACTCAAAAACTTCTCTCGTTGAATACTTAAACCAATAATTATGACTGCATGAACTATTATGACCTGTTAAAAAAAAGAGAGGGGGAAGTAGGGGGTCAAGACCTCTTCCTGTTACACAATTTGGCTATGTGTAACAATAAGTAATTTATTTATTTATTTATTTATTTATTTATTTATTTATTTATTTATTTATTTATTTATTTATTTATTTATTTATATACAAGAAGGTACATTGGGTTTGTGAGGATACATAGCATGGTGTTTACATTCTTGTAAAGCCACTAGTACGCGCAGTATTTCGGGCAGGTCCTTAATCTACCATATAATTTTAAGTAGGTAAATTCTAGCAAAGTTTATAAAATGATAACAGGTACATTGCAAGGAAAAATGAGATAAGAGAGATTAGTAGCTATATTAGAGCACATCAGTAGCTCTGATTGATTTGCACTGACAGCTTGATTGGTAATTTAACAAAGATTAATAGGCACAATACAGCATTTTGATAGCACATATAAGAAGACAGCAACGATCACAATGGTAAAGTTCTTTGGATTAGGTACATAAAGATTTGGGGATTGGGTAGCACTAGATACAGTGCAATTTTAAAGCACAAGGTAGGAAATTATGAAGATGAAATTAGGCCCTTTTTGGTTTTGTTTTTCAATGAGGCAATTATAGAATAAATATAGTCAAATACAGGCTTTAGGCATTATAGGCATATATAGGCTTTATCAACAATGGCTTTAGGCATTGTATGTACTAGCTCTATCTATAAATCCATCAATGTTTTGTATCACACCTTGTATGTATGTACTTTACCTGAATAAATATTTAAATTTGAATTAGAATAGGAAGGCAAGTATAGAAAATATAGGAATAAAAATGAGGTAAATACAGAATTTTTAATAAGGCACAAGGTAGGAAACTATGAAGATGAAATTAGGTACTTTTTTGTTTTTGTTTTTGAATGAGGCAAAAGTTGAACAGCTTTTCAACTCATTAGAGAGTGAGTTCCATAGACTGGGTCCCTTTATTTGCATAGTGTTTACACAGATTAAGTTTGACTCTGGGGATATCAAAGCTGTAAAAATATTGATGCAGTTATTTAAATAAAAAATATATTGAAAGAAATATTTCTGGTTTATTTTTAGCCTATCTTTTTGTATTGTACAGTGTATCCAAAGAAGTGAAAAATTGAGACATAATGCACAATTTAATGAATGATTCAAATGAAATATGACTATTACATATCAACATGAGATCTTAATGATCCATGGTTAACATGATTTAATAAGGGTAATACTGGTAATAATACAAACTATAATTTAAAATCTTCATTACTGATTTTTTTATTATTAAGAAGCTTAGGTATACACAGCAATGTGCTGCTACGCTATTTTATATGGAAGATTAACAGTGTAGATAAAAAACTAGCTATAAGTTCATCTAATACTCCCATCTCACAGGATGGTTAGACATACATGAAATCAAGGGAGAAAATAGCTGCCTCAATACAAAAAACAAATCAACTCTGACTAAACAACAGCTTCACGATATTCACAAGAGGTAAGCACTGAATCATGGAAATATTATATTATAATTACTCTAACCAGTTTCTACAAGACTACTCTCAACCAATGTATTTTTTTTAACATGCTTAGGTTTACACAGAAATGTGTTGCTTCTATATTCTGTATGAAGGACCACACAGTGTATATAAAAAAATCCAGCTACAAGCTCATCCAACATCCTCACCTCACAGGACGGCCAGTCATACATGGAATCAGGAGAGAACAAAATATATAAGGCTGATCTATTAGCCCCCACTGACAAAATCTGGGTGCAGCACAAGAATATCTTCCAATATTCCTTAGTGTAAGAAATAATTACAGAGCTCAAAGTAACTCATACCATTTGGTATAAAGTCAATCATAACATTTGGTATAAAGTCACTGATAACAGGGCAATCACAGATATAGTGTTGAAGAGTATGTGCTCTCAAGTTGGACAGAAAACAGATGTTTTTTCCACCAAGAGGGTTATAAACCCATCGAACCGCCTACCCGCTGAAGCCGCAAATATTAAAATCAAGCTAAAAAATATCATTAAGACAATTGGCAGGCCCTTTAACAAGCCGCCGACTTTCTGTCCTCGTCGAGGCCACTAGATAGTTAGTGGCCCTTGGGTAAATTCATTTAAATATATACAATAAGTGTCAGCGCATCTCCGCGCGACAAAGAAAGCTAAACACACACAGTATTCCTTAGAATTACGTACGTAAACAAAAAATGTAACATATTTGTTCACTATAATGTCGGTGCTGGTTGTTGAAGTTGAAAAAACCTAGTTTTACTTCGAAATATGCTAATTTTATAAGAAATTCGACGTAAATAGGGGCCAGGTGAGCTCCGATAAGCCAGCGTCGTGATTAGCAAAATCTTCAAGATGAAGAATGTTGCCTGCTCTCTGATTGTCTAAATGAAACACAGTAGTGACCTCTGTCGGCATGCAGGTGAACCAGACCCAAAACCCAAATATCTTCGTAAGAATACCTTCCTGATTCGCACGTAAGCATCTTCTTAGCGCGTACTTGGGAACCTTCGTAGCACACCTACTTACGAAGAAATACATGGAGTTTCGTGAATCTAAGTCCTGGAACATAAGCTGGAGAGACAGGCAAGAGTAACTGGTAAGGTGCTCCAGTGGATAACGGATTACCTAAGCAATAGGACGCAGAGAGTTACGGTGAGGGGTGAGACCTCAGATTGGCGTGAAGTCACCAGTGGAATCCCACAGGGCTCTGTACTCGGTCCTATCTTGTTTCTGATTTATGGAAATGATCTCCCAGAGAGTATAGACTCATTTCTCTCAATATTTGCTCATGATGCCAAAACTATGAGAAGGATTAAGTTAAGACAGAGGAGGACTGCTTGAGACTTAAAGAAGACCTAGACAAACTGAATGAATGGTCGAACAAATAGTTGTAAGAGTTTAACCCAAGCAAATGTAATGTAATGAAGATAGGTGTAGGGAGCAGGAGGCCAGATACAAGGTATTATTTGGGAGATGAAATTCTTCAAGAGTCAGGGAGATCAGAGAGAGAGAAAAAGACTTTCAGGTTGATATCACACCAGACCTGTCCCCTGAAGCCCATATCAAGAGGATAAAATCAGCGGCATATGCCAGGTTGGCCAACATAAGAACGGCATTTAAAACTAGTGTTAGAAATCATTCAGAACTTTGTATACCACACATGTCAGGTCAATCCTGGAGTATTCAGCCCCAGCATGGAGTCCATATCTAGTCAAGGACAAGACTAAACTGGAAAAGGTTCAAAGGTTTCCCACCAGACTAGTACCCGAACTGAGAGGTATGAGCTACGAGGAGAGACTACGGGAATTAAACCTCACGTAGCTGGAAGATCACATTCCACATTCAAGATTCTCAAAGGAATTGATAGGGTAGATAAAGAGAGGATTTTAACACACGGGGCACACACACTAGGGGACACAGGTGGAAACTGAGTGTCCAAATGAGCCACAGAGATATTAGAAAGAACTTTTTTAGTGTCAGAGTGGTTGACAAATGGAATGCATTAGGTAGTGATGTGGTGGAGGCCGACTCCATTCACAGTTTCTAATGTAGATATGATAGAGTCCAGTAGGCTCAGGAACCTGTACACCAGTTGATTGACAGTAGAGAGGCGGGACCAAAGAGCCAGAGCTCAACCGCCAAAAGCACAAATAGGTGAGTACACACACACGCACTCACGCTCGCGCACGCACATATGAAAACATTATAATTGCTTATTATTTACTATTATTTTTAAGTTTTTACGTGAATCTTAAAAAGGTGTTTCTCAAGAATATATCTTGTTAGTTATTTCTAATGGTTTTAGTAACGTCAGAGAGACGTATTTAATTAGCTAGTTACAGTGTTACCTTTCTGCCACCATTTAAAAACGTTTACAAACGTTTTGTGTTTGCTGGGATTAAGGGTGTGTGAGGCAAGATGGGGAGAGTGTGAGGGAGAGAGGAAGGGTGTGTGAGGCAAGATGGGGAGAGTGTGAGGGAGAGAGGAAGGGTGTGTGAGGCAAGATGGGGAGAGTGTGAGGGAGAGAGGAAGGGTGTGTGAGGCAAGATGGGGAGAGTGTGAGGGAGAGAGGAAGGGTGTGTGAGGCAAGATGGGGAGAGTGTGAGGGAGAGAGGAAGGGTGTGTGAGGCAAGATGGGGAGAGTGTGAGGGAGAGAGGAAGGGTGTGTGAGGCAAGATGGGGAGAGTGTGAGGGAGAGAGGAAGGGTGTGTGAGGCAAGATGGGGAGAGTGTGAGGGAGAGAGGAAGGGTGTGTGAGGCAAGATGGGGAGAGTGTGAGGGAGAGAGGAAGGGTGTGTGAGAGAAGACGTAAAGATTGTGTGTCGGAAGACGTGAAATGTATAAAAATGTTTGAAGTGGTATAATCATTATATCTTGAAGACTGTTACAGTGATTGGGGAGACTGAGATGGTGTATAGGAGAGAACCTGGCGCGGAATAGACCCGAGCACCGCCGGGTAAACCATCTAATGTTTTATATAATTAATCCAACTCGGCATTGACGAAAGTTAAACTCACCCACATATAAAAATGGTGTCATAACAGTTCCATTCATACCTGAACTGTGAAGTTGGCTCTGGGCTGGTTATTAGCAGCAAATAAAATGGTGATAAGATGTTGTCTGTGTTCTCCGAGACACTTCAAGCGTTCCTGAGGGGCATGAATGACCAGATAGGAGCCAGATGGAGAGTAATATTTCTTGAAGGTGTGAGTGTAGCTGGAGTCTTGCATGCGATACTTTTGGGGCCACGTTAATTGATGGGCAAGAGTGTCAACAGTTTTGATCTGAAAACAGTGAAAAATATTATCATTTATATTTTGAATAAAGTACAACATTATACGAATAAGAATTAACAATGTTCAACAACTCTTTCAAGAGTCAAGTAGAGAGAAAGATCTGCGGGGTTGATATCATACCGAACCCGTTCCCAGAAGGCCACATCAAAAGGATATCATCAGTGGCATATGCTAGATTGACCAACATAAGAACTGCCTCTAGAAACTTGTGTAAGGAATCATTCAGAACCTTGTATACCACTTATGTCAGACCAATCCTGGAGTATGCAGCTCTAGCCTGGAGTCCATACCTAGTTAAACACAAGAGGATGTTTGAGAAGATTCAGAGATATGTCACCAGATTAGTTCCAGAGTTGAGAGGAAAGAGTTACGAGGAGAGGAACGTCACGAGAAGATTGAAGAGTTAGGAGAGACATAATCACTACAATCAAAAATCCTAGAGGAATTGTCAGTGTTGACAAAGTAAAAATATTTATAATTGGAGAACACAAACAAGAAGAAACAGGTGGAAACTTAGTACCCAAATGAACCACAGAAACATTAGAATTATTTTTTCAGTGAAAGAGTAGTTAACAAATGGAATGCATTAGGAAGAGATGTTGTTGAGGCTGAATCCATACACACATTCAGATGTTGATATGGTAGAAGCCAATAACCTCAGGAACCTGTACACCAGTTGAATGCCAGATGAGAGACATGACAACAGACCGAAGCTCAACCCCCGCAAGCACAACTAGGTGAGAACAAAAATATATATATAGCATTTACCGAACCATAAATACACAGACCAAAACATGAGAAATTTAGCAAGCATAATTCAAAGATTCCTCACAGCACCAATACTTCAGAGACCACAACGTGAACAACACAGCACCAATACTTCAGAGACCACAACGTGAACAACACAGCACCAATACTTCAGAGACCACAACGTGAACAACACAGCACCAATACTTCAGAGACCACAACGTGAACAACACAGCACCAATACTTCAGAGACCACAACGTGAACAACACAGCACCAATACTTCAGAGACCACAACGTGAACAACACAGCACCAATACTTCAGAGACCACAACGTGAACAACACAGCACCAATACTTCAGAGACCACAACATGAACAACACAGCACCAATACTTCAGAGACCACAACATGAACAACACAGCACCAATACTTCAGAGACCACAACGTGAACAACACAGCACCAATACTTCAGAGACCACAACGTGAACAACACAGCACCAATACTTCAGAGACCACAACGTGAACAACACAGCACCAATACTTCAGAGACCACAACGTGAACAACACAGCACCAATACTTCAGAGACCACAACGTGAACAACACAGCACCAATACTTCAGAGTCCACAACGTGAACAACACAGCACCAATACTTCAGAGTCCACAACGTGAACAACACAGCACCAATACTTCAGAGACCACAACGTGAACAACACAGCACCAATACTTCAGAGACCACAACGTGAACAACACAGCACCAATACTTCAGAGACCACAACGTGAACAACACAGCACCAATACTTCAGAGACCACAACGTGAACAACACAGCACCAATACTTCAGAGACCACAACGTGAACAACACAGCACCAATACTTCAGAGACCACAACGTGAACAACACAGCACCAATACTTCAGAGACCACAACGTGAACAACACAGCACCAATACTTCAGAGACCACAACGTGAACAACACAGCACCAATACTTCAGAGACCACAACGTGAACAACACAGCACCAATACTTCAGAGACCACAACGTGAACAACACAGCACCAATACTTCAGAGACCACAACGTGAACAACACAGCACCAATACTTCAGAGACCACAACGTGAACAACACAGCACCAATACTTCAGAGACCACAACGTGAACAACACAGCACCAATACTTCAGAGACCACAACGTGAACAACACAGCACCAATACTTCAGAGACCACAACGTGAACAACACAGCACCAATACTTCAGAGACCACAACGTGAACAACACAGCACCAATACTTCAGAGACCACAACGTGAACAACACAGCACCAATACTTCAGAGACCACAACGTGAACAACACAGCACCAATACTTCAGAGACCACAACGTGAACAACACAGCACCAATACTTCAGAGACCACAACGTGAACAACACAGCACCAATACTTCAGAGACCACAACGTGAACAACACAGCACCAATACTTCAGAGACCACAACGTGAACAACACAGCACCAATACTTCAGAGACCACAACGTGAACAACACAGCACCAATACTTCAGAGACCACAACGTGAACAACACAGCACCAATACTTCAGAGACCACAACGTGAACAACACAGCACCAATACTTCAGAGACCACAACGTGAACAACACAGCACCAATACTTCAGAGACCACAACGTGAACAACACAGCACCAATACTTCAGAGACCACAACGTGAACAACACAGCACCAATACTTCAGAGACCACAACGTGAACAACACAGCACCAATACTTCAGAGACCACAACGTGAACAACACAGCACCAATACTTCAGAGACCACAACGTGAACAACACAGTACCAATACTACAGAGACCACAACGTGAACAACACAGCACCAATACTTCAGAGACCACAACGTGAACAACACAGCACCAATACTTCAGTGACCACAACGTGAACAACACAGCACTAATACTTCAGAGACCACAACGTGAACAACACAGCACCAATACTTCAGAGACCACAACATAAACACAACACAGTACCAATACTTCAGAGACCACAACGTGAACAACACAGCACCAATACTTCAGAGACCACAACATAAACACAACACAGTACCAATACTTCAGAGACCACAACATAAACACAACACAGTACCAATACTTCAGAGACCACAACGTGAACAACACAGCACCAATACTTCAGAGACCACAACATAAACACAACACAGCACCAATACTTCAGAGACCACAACGTGAACAACACAGCACCAATACTTCAGAGACCACAACGTGAACAACACAGCACCAATACTTCAGAGACCACAACATGAACAACACAGCACCAATACTTCAGAGACCACAACGTGAACAACACAGCACCAATACTTCAGAGACCACAACGTGAACAACACAGCACTAATACTTCAGAGACCACAACGTGAACAACACAGTACCAATACTTCAGAGACCACAACATAAACACAACACAGTACCAATACTTCAGTGACCACAACGTGAACAACACAGCACCAATACTTCAGAGACCACAACATAAACACAACACAGTACCAATACTTCAGAGACCACAACATAAACACAACACAGTACCAATACTTCAGTGACCACAACGTGAACAACACAGCACCAATACTTCAGTGACCACAACGTGAACAACACAGCACCAATACTTCAGAGTCCACAACATAAACACAACACAGCACCAATACTTCAGAGACCACAACATAAACACAACACAGTACCAATACTTCAGAGACCACAACATAAACACAACACAGTACCAATACTTCAGTGACCACAACGTGAACAACACAGCACCAATACTTCAGAGACCACAACATAAACACAACACAGTACCAATACTTCAGAGACCACAACATAAACACAACACAGCACCAATACTTCAGAGACCACAACATAAACACAACACAGTACCAATACTTCAGTGACCACAACGTGAACAACACAGTACCAATACTTCAGTGACCACAACGTGAACAACACAGCACCAATACTTCAGAGACCACAACATGAACAACACAGCACCAATACTTCAGAGTCCACAACATAAACAACACAGCACCAATACTTCAGAGTCCACAACATGAACAACACAGCACCAATACTTCAGAGACCACAACATAAACACAACACAGCACCAATACTTCAGAGACCACAACGTGAACAACACAGCACCAATACTTCAGAGTCCACAACATAAACACAACACAGCACCAATACTTCAGAGACCACAACGTGAACAACACAGCACCAATACTTCAGAGACCACAACATAAACACAACACAGTACCAATACTTCAGAGACCACAACATAAACACAACACAGCACCAATACTTCAGAGACCACAACGTGAACAACACAGCACCAATACTTCAGAGACCACAACATGAACAACACAGCACCAATACTTTAGAGACCACAACATGAAAAACACAGCACCAATACTTCAGAGACCACAACATGAACAACACAGCACCAATACTTCAGAGACCACAACGTGAACAACACAGCACCAATACTTTAGAGACCACAACGTGAACAACACAGCACCAATACTTCAGAGACCACAACATGAACAACACAGCACCAATACTTCAGAGACCACAACGTGAACAACACAGCACCAATACTTTAGAGACCACAACATGAACAACACAGCACCAATACTTCAGAGACCACAACGTGAACAACACAGCACCAATACTTCAGAGACCACAACATGAACAACACAGCACCAATACTTCAGAGACCACAACGTGAACAACACAGCACCAATACTTCAGAGACCACAACATAAACAACACAGCACCAATACTTCAGAGACCACAACATAAACAACACAGCACCAATACTTCAGAGACCACAACATAAACAACACAGCACCAATACTTCATAATCTACAACAGCGGTCGGCAAACTTTCAGACCTCACGGACCACTAAATTCATAATTTTAAACTCCGCAGACAACTAATATGAAATTTTGTAAAAGGAAAAATACATTTGTAAAATAATGATGAAAGAACTTTTATTTTTGTAATATGAAATACTCCTATTTAATATAACAAAATTATTAATGTTTATTTACTTATAACAAAATCATAAATGCTTATTTAATCGTAACAAAATCTTTAAAGGTTGTTTAATTGTAACAAAATTATTGAAGTTAGTTTAATTACTACAAAATAATTGAAGTATTACACATATTTATGTGACACTGGTTACACA